TTTCACAATGCGGAAATTGAAGTAAAGACAAGTCAGAAAGCAAAGAGACCTTATATATATAAAAATATTTACAAGGACCGATCAGGGTCCTAAAAAAACAAAAAAGAAATATCGTAGGGTCCCTAATTGTTTTTGGGGGCATCTCCCTCTCCATCATGATCCTCCCCACTCTTGTAATCGCTCTTGCTTCCGGCATTATCGTCATCGTCATTGTCAGAGGAGGCCAATGCCTTGACATCGTCTTCAAGCTCTTTGGCTTTTCTTATAGCGTCAATAAGATTGAAACCTTGAGCATGGATCTCCTCGAGAGTTTCCCTCCGAGATTGGCACTTGGCGAGCTCGGCAATCCAAAAAGCTCGATTTTGAGCGGCCTCGGCAGATTCTCTTGCTTGGGCTTGAGCAGCTTCAGCATCACATCGGTAAACGGCCACGATCGCCTCCGCGTCAGCCTTTACTTTTTCTGCCTCAAATTTAACCTTTTCAAGTTCGGCGGCCAATCGAGCCTCGAGCTCCTCTATTTTCTTGGCTTGAGCGGAGCTTTCCTTCTTCATAAATCAAAGCTGACTTTCGGCCGATGACAGTTGGGCTCGAGCAGCATCTTTCTCCGAGGCAAGGCGGTCCATGTTTTATCTCCACCCCAAGGTCTCCACCCTCATCATGTTAACCTCCTCACGGAGCTGTTCGATTTTTTCGGCCTTCTTCTGAACCTGTGAGATTTAAATGTTAGCCATCAACCTCAAACTGATAAAATGAGCTTCTAAGATTTTCATTACCTGCTCAATCAGGTCGGTCTGTTCTTTGTGAGCCATGTCCAATTCGGCTCGGAGGTCCTTGATCTCCTTTTCTTTTTACACACTGAGAAGTTTGAGGGCATTTCTCTCCTCCGTGAACCTTTGAAGATCGGGCTCGCATCGGCTCAGCTCTACTCGGGATTTAGAAAATGCCTCCCGATGAAGTGCCAAGACCTATGCATAAAGAAGAAAGGAAATTAGACAAGAAGAAATAAATACAAGTGTGATATCGACGAGGGGAGTTAAGACTTACCCAACTCAGGATTCGTTGACCCTCATCAAAAAGACTTGATGCATCGCTCGAGTCAATATCATCTTCAACTCCTGTAAAGCAACAACGGATCAAATCCTCCCCTTCATGAGCTCTTCCCACATCGGCAGTCCTCATAGCTTGGGCATCCTGAATTGCCTCCTCGGAAAATGCAGGGAGAGTCGATGAGTCTCCAATTATTATTGCCCCGAGTGAATCACTTGGGCGTTCTCTTCATTTTGAAGGGCCTCGAAGCTGGCCCCTTTAGGCATACCCACCGATTTCTCATTTCGGTGGGAGGCATCTTCAGCCTCCAACGACTCGGGGGCTTAGCCCGGGCCCTCTTCCAAGACCTCCTCCGTTCGAGGCTTAATCTTTTCAACTCTCACCAACTCAGCTGCCTTTGGGGCCTCAGTGTTTTTTTCACTCGGGCAACCAGTTCGCAGCCATCGTCTTCTTCTTCTTCTTCCTGTCTTAGTCGCTGAGCTACCTCAGCAGGCAGAGGGACAGTGTCTTTCTTCGGCTTACGAGCCTTACTTTTCTTGAGCTTTGGGTCCTCGGAGGTCGAGACCCTTTTTCTCTTCTTTTCCTTCACCAGTTTCGGTGCCGGAACCTCCTCCTCCGCGGACAGGGACCTCATGACAGCATCTTTTCTGAAGCCTGTATGAAAGGAAATCAAGTGAGTATGAAAAGAAATATTTTAGAGAAAATCGTCAAATACGTGAAAAAGGGCTTACCAAGATTTTTGGCCTCCCATCGGCCCCTTGCCAAATCACGCCATGAGCGCTCAACGTACGAAGAGGTCGAAGCCCGATCCCGAACCTAGCTCTCGAGGTTAAGAATTGCACCAGACATCCAAGAGACCGCTACATCATAGAAAGGGATGTCGATAAGAAGAAGCAAAGGAAACAAAACAATAAATGGAAGCTATAGGCGGGATTGTACTTACGATTCATATACCATTTCTTGAGAAATAGCATCTTCTCGGCCGGGATCAGGTCGGAAGTCTTCACTCGAATTAACCAGCACATCCATCATCGGTCCTTTCCTCATCTATGCTTGAGAACAATACCTTGGTAGCCCGACGCTAAAGTCTTATTAACCCGCCTCGATAAACACGGGGGCTGTACAACCTAATGATGTGGTCGAGGGTGAAAAGCATCCCTTCGACTTTGCTCGTGAAGAACCGGAGCAGAATAACAATCCGCCAAAAAAGAGCGATGGAATTGACCTAGGGTTATTTGATATAGATGGCAAAAATCGATGATGGGGATCGATAGGGCCCGGCGTGAAAGGATAAGTGTAAACACTTAGAAACCCTTCCACATGGGTAGTGATGTCTTCTTCGGGGGCCAGAATCACCACCTCTTTATCTTCCCAATGTCAGTCTTTCTTCACCTGCTCAAGGTCACCCTTAGTTATCGAGCATATATATCTCAACATTGGCTCGCATCGACCAGGGACCAACGAAGTTTTCTCGACTTTGAAGTCGGAAGTAAGGACACACCCCCCAGGAACACACTCCTCAGGGCGCGGCTCCACTGGTGTTTTATCGCGGGCCGGCCGCGATGAAGAAGCGTTTCCCTTTTGAGGAACAGTTTTTGACGTTTTTGCCATTTTTGTGTGAGTTTAAAGAAAGAGGGAGATGACAGGACTTGGTGTTTAAAAAGGGATTAGCAACAAACCTTGGAGATTTTGAAGAAATGAAGAGCTTAAGAGATGTAAAAAGCTTAAGAGATTAGAAGAAAGTGAAAGTAAAGATTGAATCAATGAGAGAAGGGGCATATTTAAGGGATTCATGGCGACGGTTCAAAGGCACTGGTGGCCGACAACCAACTGACGCTCATTAATAACTTTGGGAACTGTACCGACGAGACGTTTCGGTCGCTTACGTCACGAGGATGATGTCATGACAGGTTGAGGTATAAAATCGAAGGCTCAATTCGTTTCTTCTCATAACACTACAAGAAACGAGGGGACTATTTGTATATGATTAAAATTGGGCCTACCCGATTCTACTATTTGATCAAGACCGGGGAATTGCATCAAAGGTCGGCCCCGCAGTGGGTCAGACCAAAGCACGAGGATAAGGTATCGAGATCGAGGATTGAGGTACCTATTGAGACCCAGGCCAGTAGCGATCGAGACCAAATGAGGCAGACGCCGAGTAAAGTACAATAACAGAAAGCGAGATGTCCGTGAGTGGTCGAAGTTCGCGGCAGAAATCTCAGAACAGACCAATTCAAGGGCGGTTGTTTAGCTAGTCATAGGATTTACTTCCGTAATTAGAATTATACCGTAGATAGGATTCCTCTACTATATAAATGAGGTTCTAATCATCTTGTGTCCATTTTACACTCTGAGATATCAAAGCAATATAATGTCTTTTCTTTAGTTCATATTCTTGTTCATCAGCTTGTTATATTTTAATTGTTCTTGTTCCAATCAGTTCGAGCGTATTCAAGCTCGAGGGCTGAATTTCGTTTAAACACTGGTTTGTTTTATCCTATTGCTAATTTATATTACTAATCTTTACATTTATCAATTGGTATTAGGTGAAATAACGTGTCATTAAAATCAATTGTAAGTTTAAGTGTTATCCAATTTTAAGGGTAAACAGTAATTAAGCTTATAAAATTGTAAGACAAAACATGTTACCATATGGTTGTCAATTGTCATGATCCTATAATTGTAGGAAGTATGTAGCAAAACCAACCAGGGTTGTAGTATAGTGCTAAGTATTCCGTCATCTTTAACCAGAGGTCTAGGGTTCGAGCCCTGGTGTGTGGAGTCCCCTTTGTTAGGAAATGCTTTACCCACTTAATGTTAGACTTTTCTAGCATGAAACCAGATTTAGTCTGGTCCCAATGCAGGTATTGGACACCAAGTGAAAAACTATTAAAAAAAAAAAGATAATAATAATAATAATAATAATAATAAAAAGAATGGGAAGTACGTAGGTATGACTAGCCACAGCTTAACCAATGCTACCTTGTCTTCGCCATTATTTAGACTTGTGATCAATTTAAATCTCCCTATGATGGTTTGCAGATATTGAAAAATCTTTTTCATTGATAATGCTTCCTCTGTTCTTTTGCTTTTCAAGTAGTATAATTTTAGACCTCTACTAAGGGCACACTCTTTGAAAAAAATACCTCCAAGAGATCTAGTTCAAAACCAGTCCAAAAATTTGTGGGAAACTAAAAAATTTGTTAAGGGTGTTGAAGGGTGTTTCAAATTTAATATATATTAATAAAAAGGTACTACTTGACCGATATATACAATATAATTTTCCACATGGGTGTTCAACTAACCACTCTTGAGCTTATGTGGCTCCGTTACTGCCGAAATTCCCGTGTATAGAAACTCAAAGTGGAAACATTTGTCATACTAAGGAACGCAAAGTTATTATAGAAAGGTTGATCGGATTATCAACATCCTAGTCTGGAATAAGGTGCAACTTCAATCGTAGTCTTGAAACCCTTCTTATAGGTTGAAAAAGCAAACCAGGTTACAAGGATAATTAGGCATATCAACACCCCATTTCACAGTTGTTAGACTACCTAGCAATTTTATGTGCCAAGGCTATCTCTGGGTACTCAAGCTTATACTCACCATACTGGAAAAAGTAACATGTTAGCAACCGATTATTAGGAATAATATCCCAGTGTGGGCTAAGTTGCAATTTCAGTCGCCAATTTCTAGTTAATGCACCCATAATAACCCGACAATCTCTTCTATGGAACCACTGTCATTTCGTCTAGCATGTACTCTTGGGTCACCAGTACTTGAAGTACGACAAAGTGAAAGGAGACAAGACTCACCTCCCCTTACTTTGCCAATCACAAGTGTCTCAGTCCCAAAAAAAACGGAGATGGCGAGGAAACTAACTTCCAAGAGATGCTTTCACAAGTGCCTGTCTGTGTATATTGAAACTATTCTTATACTAGAGACACATGTCATATAAATCTTACTAGGAATATCAATATAAAATTAGACAAAGTTACAATTTTTGTCCTAGAGAACATGTTTCTCAATACTCAAAATGACATCACTTCATGCAAACAAGGGCATAATAGAAATTTTATTAGGAATATCAACGTTCAATCTGGACTAAGCTGCAATTGCTGTACCAGAATGCCATAAATGGATAATCAGAGTAGAAGAAACTCAACGCACAGTAGAGATCTACTTGCAGAATTCCATGACCCAAAAATTACAGACACAACATATTAAGTTAACGCCTTTGAATCCGGCTTCAGTAGCCAAGGCTCGAAACTCTTGTTCAGATCTCTCTTTGCCTCCAGGATTTTGAGCCATCATGATCAAATCACATTGCGAGACGCCAACCACAGCGGTATCAGTGTCAGGTTTCACTGGTAAAATGGCCTCAACAACAATTACCTTTCCATTGTCTGGTAGAGCCTTGTAGCAGTTCTTTAGCAACTTGAGGTTGTGACTATCACTCCAGTCATGAAGAATCCACTTCAGTAAGAAACATAGAAATATTAATCGTTTTGACACGTTATTTCAGCGGATACAAAAAATACTAGGTGACTTCTTTCCATCTTCCTAAGCCTTGGTAGGCAGAGTTAAATAATACTTGTGTTGACTGGAGGTAGCAGGTAGCTAGTGGAATTAATTGAGGTGTGTGCAAGCTGGCCCCAACACCACCGTCACAAAATAAAAGTCGTTATGGCACGTTATTACTCCCCCTCCAAATTAATAAGCTTACTGAAATAAACTGTGAATATTACCAGAACAAACAAAAACTTGCTACAAACTATAAGCATTTGGAGTTCCAGAGCACCTTCTAGGAAGGGTACCAAATTAAAAGAACAGCCAAAACAAACAAACATCTTGTGTAACTTCTATTGATTACTTCCTCCACTTCCAAATATTAGTTAGTTTTGACAAACTGAATTTGTTTTAAAATTATTTGAAATTTCAAAAAAACAAGGAGTCATTTATTACTTTTTCTGCTAAGCTTATTCGACTCATCAAAGATTTGGACATACCTTCATAAAAATAGCATCTCCTTCTGGAACACTTCCAAACATATCTCCCCCGACATGTTCCACCCCTGCAATATTATGATCACAATCTTAATTCAAGTTAAGAATTGATTGTGTATGTATAAGAAAATATTGTATCAGTTGACAAAGCTCTAACTTTAGTTTGGTGTAATTACGTAATCATGGATTTCAAGAAGATGGGTGTACTGTTGTGAAGAAACAAATCTAGAATTTAGATTTGACGGGTTTAACTTTAGTTTCTTACCATGAACCTTATACACTTTTTAAATTATAGGTTCAAAATTATATTTTTTTTTTTAAATTTTAGTGATTTTCACATATACATCTATACTCCGTGCCGAAACAAGATCGTCCGAAGTGGATTTTGAACCGTCAATTGCACTAGTAGAGGTACACCCAATAATAATTACACCATAAAAGTCTTTGAGCATGGGGTGCATACACATATATTTAAGTAATTTTAAAAAAATATAACATTGTTAGCAGTGGCGGATTCAAGATTTCAAAGTCATGGTGCTCATCGGTAAAAATATCAAAAGAAGAAGAAAAATGAATTTAGTGGTGGGTGCTCACTGAATACTTATTTAAATTTTTTGATAATTACCTATGTAAATTTATTAAGTTTGGCCAAAGACAATGGGTGCTTAAGCACCCATAAGACTCCTTGTGGATCCGCCACTGATTGTTATACATGGTTTAGCGAAAAGAACATGAGTTCACATATACCCTTATCCCTTAACCTAGATATGCCTCTGACTATGACTCGTCTATGTTATGAAGCTGATAGATATAATAGGAGTAATATTTAGCATTTCAATGTATATAAGGTAAATCCCTAACGATTGTACATGATGTGAAGTAAATTTAAGTAGTGTTGGACCAAACCTCCAAAGTAAAGTAAACAATAAAACAAGAATGAGAAGGTACCAGGATAGGAAGGTGCATGTTGAACAACATGTGGCAAATCAAAATTAGTGCCCTTAATTGTGGGGTATTTAGCTGTAATCATCTTGAGGTTGACTCCAAGACCACCTCCAACATCAACCAAAGTTTTAAGGTTGTCAAAACCTTTGTAATTTTCAAGTATTTTTTTTATGACTACAGTTGTGTGATTGATCATTGCCTTGTTGAAAACATCATTAAATTTGGGGTCTGATTTTGGATATTCAAATGCATGTACACCGTGTACCCTGTCAAATGGAACTCCTCCTTCAAGAACTGCATCTTTTAATTCAAACCTGTATTTAAATTAGATAGACAGTCAGATATGAATCATATGTTCTAATTTTGTCATGCCTCTTCTAATTTGAAAAAAATATTTTAAGAGTCAAACAAGTCTTTCATTTATAATTTTTTTTTTTTGGAAATTATTTCATTTAAAGTTACTACTATTATCATGGAAATTATTACTAAACAAACTGAACGAAATCTTTTATGGCTTTTCTATATAGTAGTAATAGTAGTTTAGAGAGAAGTTGGTCAAATTGTGTCATAGCACCAACATCTACGAGATGCATTTAATATATAGATTTTCTCTACTCCCACCTACATTTAAACTAAATTAAGTTCAATCTAAGAATCTAATTTATCTAAATTGCCTATAAATAGTGAGCTATTTAATAAAATGAGGTAAAACAAATTAGTTAAGTTGAGAGAACAAATTATTATTAGCTTTTGAGCTATAGATGCATTTCATTATTTGCTGTAACTTAAAACTTATTTTTTTTTAGATTTCATCTTGAAAGTATATATCTAATGGCTTCGACGCCTTAATAATGCTCCTAAGTTTGTAAGCCATTTCTGACACTTGTTATTTAAGAAGAATAATTTTCCAAGCTAGAATCAGCACATAAGTTCAAACGGCATATTTCATAAATTAAAAATTCAAAAGAAAAGAATTAAAGTATAAAAGGCATGAATATATATATACACACACGCGCACTCAATCCTGCCGTCCTTGTCATATCCCGTTTAAGGTTTTGACTCACATTAATAGCATTTGATGATATTAGTCATAAGTGTTATTTGACTAAATAAACTTTATAGTTTCCTTAATTCAATGATTAATGACTATGTGCATCATTAGAGTAATAAAACTGTAATTGAATTAGTAATGGCTAATTTTTCTAAAAAGACAAATATTTTGTAATGGATTATACACTCATATTCATTATTTACTTTTGCTAGCCAATGTACATGGATTATACATTGATTATACACAGTTATATACATATTATAACTGAATTATTTATATATTAATTATACGTCCCTCAGCCATTTTAAATTTAAGTAATTGGATGGACGGCTATTTAGGTTAATTTTTTTTTTTTAATTAAAGTGACCAATAAAACGATAAGATGGAAAATAATAACACACATACGACTAACATAATCGACAAATAGTAAAATGAAGAATCTTGTCTTGTGAAAAAGGAATCCAACCAATACTGCCAGTGGAAAAAAGAATAAAAAGTAGGACAAAACTTACCAGCTATTAATGAATACTTTATCTTGTAGCAAAGCCAAAAGTGGCCCCATTGATGCACCATCTTCATCTCTAACAAAGAATTTTCCTACTTGTGACAAACCATACACTCTTTTCGATCCACCATTTTCTTCATCCTCAACAATGGAACAAGTGAACAACGAGTAACTAGCCAAGACATAAAGCATCCTATCTAACATAGTAGCTGCATCAGGGTTCTTGCAGTTTGGCATTTGAGAAACAATTTGAGAAGCAGAAAGTTTAGTGTCATTAGCTTTGGCTAATATCTCAAAAACTTCCAATTGAATTGTTGAGTGTAACACAAAAGGAAGTACTGAAGATGACAATAGTTGCATGGCATATGTGCAGTTACGTTCTTCTTCTGATTGTGTTGGTATTTGGCTTTTGGTTGAGGATTCCATAGCTGAAAATCTAGAGACAAGAATTAGCTGAAGAGTTGTAATGTAATTTATTCTTGTAGTCTTTTCCTTTTAGAGTGTTTTTGTTAGGTTTCACAATCATGTACAGTGGAGTTAGTGCTTTTTATAAGTGTTAGTTGTGACTTTGGTTAAGAATTGTCATAATTGGTTTTCTTGGTGGGAATATTGGTTGAATTCTGTCTGTTCTCTTTTGTTAATTATTCAATTGCACACTAGCATGTTGGGCAGGTTGGTTGGTTGAAGTTTGTCTAGTTATTTCTTTCTCTTTTGAAAGTTTGACCGATAGCTAGTAATTTTATCTTTCACGTCACTAATTAATTTCACTTCATATGGATTTTCTCTGTAGTTATTTATTAACCATACGCAATCCTAAAATTAGCTTATAAGATAAAGATTGCTCAGAACTATACGAGAAACAGCAATTATCTATTCTGGATGTCAAAATTGGAGTGAACGTGCATTTGGAGCCTGGACGATATTACAGGAGTATTAAGTGGGTGTTTGGACATAAAAATCGTAAGATTTTGGGAAAAAATATTTTTTTTTTTCAAGTGAAAATGGTATTTGAATATTACAGTTATGTTTGGACATGAATATAATTTTGGGTTGTATTTTAATTTTTGTGAGTGATTTGAGTGAAAATTTTGAATAGTTTTTTTGATTTTTTTTAAATTTTCGAAAAATTCCAAAATTCATCTTCAAGTGAAAATTGAAAATTTTATAACCAAACACTGATTTCGAAAAAAGTGACAATTTTTCGAAAAAGAGTGAAAAACTTTTCATGGCCAAATGGGCTCTTAAGAACCTCAATGGCAGATGTATTATTCGGCGACTGAGTTCATCTGAATCCAATACTTTCGATACGGAGCATAAACAGGGGCAAATCTAGCACTTTGGTACCGGTTCAACTGAACCCAGTACTTTCGTTGTGGAGTATAAATTTATGTGTAAAAATTCATTAAAATTATACTCCCTCCATTTCAAATTAGATGAGGTACTTTTATTTTTAGTTTGTTCCAAAATAAATGACACATTTCTAAATTTGGAAATAATTCAACTTTAAACTCTTTATTTTACCTATTTTACCTTAATGAGAAGCTTTTATAACCACACAAATGTCATGGCCCCACAAATTAAAGTTTTTACTCCTAAAGCTTTTAAGACCACAAGTTTCAAAAGTCTTTTTTTACTTAAATTCCGTGCCGAGTCAAACTAGCTCATCTAAATTGAAAACGGAGGGAGTAACAAATAGTAGATACGAACGCATAACTTTAAAAGTATAATGGGTTCAATGTTAAAAACCTTAAAAGTTAAATCCATAGAGTTTAAATCCTAGATACACCTTACAATAAATAGTATGTTTGAACCGTAACTATAAGAATTAATGAATTTTAATGCTAAAAACCTTAAAGGGTTCTACCTAAATTTTAAATCCGCCTCTGATTAGAACCCAATATTGTGTCTTTTCGTTTCCTTTGTGAGTTGCAGTGTTGCTTCCTGTGTGAGTTGGTGGTGCGTCGAAGTCTGTCTATTTTTCTTCCTTCTTTTTTTTCTTTTTGAATTGCAAATTTTTGCCTTTTCGGTAAAAGTTAGTGAACCACTAGAAAGTGGACTTAGCCACTTAACAAGTGCGACTTTGCAGTTTGCTGGCTGCTTTACTGTACACGACAATTGGCATGCATTTCTTCCTATACTTTCCTCATATAATATGCTTTAATTTACTTCATCTAACCAGCATATAAACATATAATTAGTTCATTCACTGTTAAAATAAATACAAATGCTCGTGTTTTTCTTGACTTTTCTAATGTGGAAAGTAGGGGTGTGCATTCGATTTATCGATTCGATTTTGACTTTTATCGATAATTACTTATCGATTATCGATTTGTACATATGCTTATCGTTATCGTTTCAATAAGGATTAGATTTTTTCGATTTCGATTTATCGATTTTTGGGGCTTATCGATTCGGCTATCGATTGCACCAATAAAAAAATTTGCGGGATTCCACGGAAAGTATATCGCTATAAATACGCCTAACTAATATGGGCAAAAAGAAGCTAAAATAAGACGAACACCGTTTATAACATAAAAATTGTGTCAACAAGCACATGCAACGAAACTAAAGTAAGGGATCATATGTATGCCACCAACACTCCAACGGTATTAAAAAAAAAATACATCATCACGGCTAATTCTGTTTTCCATTAATTTGAACTTCATTCCCTTGAGCTTTAAATATGATCATTCCTTAAATGTGGTAGAGGAAATAATAAGGTTAGGGACTTAGGGTAAAGGAAAGGGTATTATAGAATAAGGGTAAAATAAAATAAAAAATAAAATTTGTCTTTTTGGTATATCTTATCGGTTTATCCATAAACGGATAACCGAAGAGGACAAAATCGAAATCGAAATCGATAAATCGATAAGCAAAATTTCGAAACCGAAATCGAAATCGATAAATCGATAAACCGATAACAAATAATCGATTCGATTTATCGATAAACCGATTCGAATGCACACCCCCAGTGGAAAGAAGAAATTAAAGACACGGACTAATTAAACAGTACTGAACTCACTATTTTTTTTATAAAAAAAAAATTATAAGTAGTATTTAAAACCTACTTATCTGACTAATTTTACTCCACACTTAGTAGATTCACTAAGAATGTAAAGCATTCTTTTTGCCAGAAAAACAATATTATAAACTCTCTCTACATTGTGTTATGTCGAGGAAGAGGCAAACCCGAAAACAAAGAAGATAAAGAACACCAAATTTTAATGTGGAAAAAACCTTTCAAATTGAAGGTAAAAATAATATAGCCATATAGGGTTTGAGAGTCGTGTTTAGGTGGAGAACTTTACAGGACAAGTGTTAGTGGGTCACTTGTGTTTGCCTCTTCGTGAGATTGTTCTCTCGATATTTTATACTCTTTTTTTATATAGTGAATTGCTCATCTCCGCCGTGGATGTAGGTCATTTGACCGAACCACGTTATATATTTGTGTCTCTTTTGGTATATTTCTCCTTGTTTTATGATTTATCGTCGTTCAAGGTTTGCTTTGTTAGCTTCCGCATGACACCTGATTTTTTCGTCATAGCACATTGCTGGTACACTAAACATTTATTCCTAAAAGTGCAACGGTCATCATTTAGAAATCGTTTTTTAATCTTTATTTAATATTATCTTCTCAATCAAATCTTGAAATCTCCTCCTTTCCGTTCTCTTTTTACTCTACTTTTTCATTGTGATGATATAGAGTTGTTGCACCTAACATAATAGTGAAATAGAATATTTCTTTTTTCAATTTCTTTCTAGATACAATGTAATTCTCCTCTGACTAATCTTCACAAAATGCTGTTCTTTTTCTTTATTCTGAACCAAAAGCCACAAGCAACTTTGTGACACTATAGATTGTCCATAACTTTTTCAAATACCGTGGGGGCTATATTAAAATTTCCAAATCTGGCCAAGCTGTTAAAGCTAGTTTTAACCAATTGGATCAAATTATCAACAATTATTAACCAAAACTGAATCTAGTCCAGTTTCTGCAGAGAAAGGATTGTGTAAAGTAGGAACTTGACAGTGACACAAGAAATGTTGAAAATAAACTGTCATATTCTTTTCATTTTCCGTTAAATACACCAACTCACAAAATAATCGACAGTATACAACTTGCGCATATTTTGACAAATTTACTAGATACTTATTACCACCTACCTCCCATTAGTACAAATACCTGGTAACTTTATCCGCTAATGTTTAGACGGATAAAAATAAATCAGTTAGTATTTGCTTTTTTTCTCGCTGAGATTTGACTCTGAGTGCAATAACCCTAAACAAGTTATAGTACCACTATCATTTTTCAGCGTCCTATACTATCTTTGCGAAACAGTTAAAAAAAAAAAGTGTTTGTATTTGTAACTATATCTTGTTTCCTTTATTCCTACATGTATTTTGCTAGGGAGGTCAGATTTGAACTTTGAAGTACGGGTCTATGCTAAATCTCTCACTACCACGGGAGGTAAAAATTTATAACTCATTTATCTATTATAGTACTCTTTGGTCTCTGATTAGGTGTAGCAGTTTAGGTTAATACGATCATTACCAAAACAAGAGTAGAAGTGTTACTCACAAACGTGCGCACACGTAAGTATACATAGTCGTACAAGTAATATAGGATTGTAAATCCAGATATCGTACCCATAGAGATTTGTGATTAACTATCAACTGAATTAAACTTTTAATCTCATTTTATTCATCTCATTTCAATTTGCTGCTTTTTTGTCATCCACGTTAATCCTTCACGATTCTTTATCCATATTATCCAAGCTTGATGCCTTCCACACTTCCATTGCCAACACTAGGATCATAGGTGACGTTATTTTTTCCACCTAATTGACTAAACTCTAAGGAATCTTCTTCCTTTTCCATTTTTTCTTCAATTTTGTCTCAAAAATCATTTTTAATTGCTCCTAACAATGACATGAACACCCAATTAATATAAACTCAATAATCAAGCTAAGTGGACATATACGATATAAAATACAATTAAAAACGGTAAAAACATAAAGAAAATAATATCTTAATATATGAAAATATGCCTAATATCATCACCCTACACTTAACCTTTTGCTCGTCCTCGAGTAACTTTCTACACTTTACAACAACATGACCTTTTTAAACAACTCTCATAACTCATCTTACCCAAAATATTTAAAATAGACTAAGCACAATAGTGTAACATCCTCACCTCAAGATTTGACTCACAAGCACCACGCAATTTTTTCACAACACGCTCACTTACTCTAACATAGGGGTCAACGACATTACCTTTCCTTCATGAATCAAGTTCCCTCACACAACAAAAGAGAGTAGTTCCGCACACATAAAATTCAAGATCAATTAGGAACTCAATATAGAAAGAATTCACTCACTCTCAGAAACAACATTCATATGCCACAAAAGATGAATCATAGGCTTGCCCGTAGTGTACTACTCTACTCGAGCTCATTCAGTCAAGGATCAAGTAGAACTTTAATTAGTTGTAATGCAGGCTGTGGGACGGGTAGGATACATGTGGATATAAGAGTGACTACACCTCCCTA